TTTTTTTTCATCAGCATAATCTCTTCTTTCTCTTTCACTTTCTCTCTCCTTTACTTTTCCTTTTTCCTTGCCTTTACAAACCTAGATCTGGGTTTCATCACATAAATTAACGATCTGCAGTTAGTGATGATAAGAAAATGAAGATCGACCACACGCTTGGGACTGTCAAGTCCAATGGCATCCAGAAAGTTCTTGCTCTTCGTGGAGATCCAAGGTTTGTTCAATATACGAGATTTTTTCACTTCTTGAGTGAGTTCTGATTTTCGGTGCTTACCTTGCTTCTTTTCTTGATTTGTAGGGTTTGCGTCTGTCTGGTTCGCCTCAATCGACGCTTTGTGCGGTGGGGAGTGGTTGTGGGTACAGGCAGTGGTCTATCCGTGGTAGCCCTAAGTGTCAATCGCGACTCACCTCGCCGCTAAGAACTTGGGATTTGCTGTATGTAGCTGCGGGGAAAGTTGCTAGGTAATTACTGATGCTTTTCATCTTCTGTTAAATATGATCAGCGTTCCTTTCAAATTTGAAATCGACATCTCGCTTCTTCACTTGTACCAACAACACTAGGCCATGGCTATGGTTCTGGACTCTGAAACCGACCTGTCGTTTCCTTACTGGACCTCCGTTCGCCAACGTTTTGGTCCCAACTCTTCTTTCTTTGCTATCGACAACCTTGAGAGAGAACTTCTCACCAAATAGGTTTTTTTCTTTTTAATTTCCTTTTCAATTAATTTTAGATGATGCCGACTTCGACTTGATTTAATTTCCCTGCGAATAATTTGTTTTTGGATCTTGAATTTTTCTTGGTTTAGATGCAATGAAATGGTTATTGTGATATAATTTTTATCAGTTTGAAATGATGAATTTTAGTAATTATTGTAGTATGAATATTCTAGAGCCTTTTCTCATATTCCCTCCCTCGTCTCATGTAATGTGTAGGTTGTCTCATGAAATTAGATGATTTTCTCAAACCCAGACCTGGGTTTTTTTCTCAAACCCAGATCTGGCGATGAAGAAGAAGACACAAGCTCCAGTACAAGATTTAAAGTTTGCAGAGGAGAATCTGAGCAAGGTAGAGATCATTTTTTTTTTTCTAATTTGGATGGAAAAATCTTTAATTATGGAATTGATAAACAAGAAGTTACAAAATCTAAGGAAGGAAAATTGAAGTTTTCAATATAAAAATTTAGGGTTTTTTTACAGATCTAAGGAAGGAGAATGATTGTTGCAGAGGGGAAGGTTTGAGGTGGAGGGAGACAAGATTTTGTCAAATTGGTTCACAATTTTTTTACAGATCCAAGGAAAATTGAAGCTTTCAACATAAAAATTTTGTTTTTTTTATAGAGATTAAGCCATGGAAATCTGGGTTTACCATTGCTTTTTTTTACTACTGACTACTAAACAGACCCTAAGTTCTATATTTTTTAGGTTAAATCTCTATTTTGGTCCCTGAACTAAAAAAATCCCTGATTTAGTCCTTAAACTATTCTACGGACCCTCGATTTGGTCTCCACTGTTTATAATTTGGCCTAAGTTGGTCCTTGAACTATTGTATGGACCCCCAATTTGGTCTTTACTGTTTACAATTTCGTCCCAATTTGGTCCCTGAG